GTCACTAGCCCTAATGTGGGATCCGAACCGGGGCCCTCTGGCATCCCAAGCGAGTTCTCAACCATCGCGCCACTCGGCCGGCCCAACATTATATTCTTGAGATTATGTATATTGTAGATCCATGTGTAATACACCACAGTTTATCTATTCTGGTAACGATGGACATTTTTTGTTATTACAAATAGTGCTGTAATAAAGATTCTTGTATATATATGTCCTTGTGCAAATATATGAGAGTTTTTCTAGAGCAGTGGTTCTCAGACTTGACTGCATGAGAATCAACTGGAGGACTGTTAAACAGATTGCTAGGCTCATAGTCTCTGATTCTGGAAGTCTGGGGTGGGTCACCTGAATCTGTATTTCTAACAAGTTCTTGAGTGCTTGTGATCTGCTTCAGAGTATAGATGTAGCTGCTGAATTGCTGGAGTGACTTACAGTGTGCACATTTTTAACTTTCCTAGGTAATGCTAGATTGTTTCCTACCAGCAGTATGAAAGATAATTGTTGGATTTGAATTTTTTGTCAGACTGGTGGGTATTAATGGTATCTTATTATATGGTCAAAAAGGAAAAACTGTATGCCTTGTTTTTTTTGTGTTTTTTTTTCTTGTTAAAACTTTCAAAATATGTGGAATAAAGAACGTTATTCATGAGATACACACACACACACACACACACACAATTCCACAGAAAACTCTGTGTGTGCTGATTAAATTTAATTTCAGTTGCTTAAGAAGAATCTTAGATAATGTTTAATAGTTTTGCAATGTTTAATATTTTTATTCTCCCATTTGCCTTTAAAAAAAAAAGATCCAAGGAGAAATTCCAGTTTAGTGAAAAGACTTGTTAAACCAAAGATACTCCTTTTAATTGAGACAAGTCTTAATTAGTACAGAAAGCTAATTCAGAAAAAGCTGACTAGCTATTATAATAGTTTCACTTCCTTCCTCAGAGAAACTCCTTGAAAGCCAGATTCAAGCTGACTTTTTATTTAACAGGTTCACGTCCTAGAGAAGACGCTGCAGAGCTGACCTCTTGTTCAGAACCCTTCCCATGTTCACATTTGAACAAACGTGTGTCAAGGTCCTGCTTCCATCAGATGGTAGTTAAGCTCTCAGAGTGGTGTCGTGTACTCCACAAGCTTGTGTACCGTGCCCAGGTGTTCAGGGGGCCTTGGCGTCTGTTGTCCACATGACCGGGCACTAACGGATGACTGTCTTTCAGCTTTCATGACGCTGGTTATCATATTGCTGCACATGTTCTGGGGCATTGTGTTTTTTGACGGCTGTGAGAAGAAAAAGTGGTACACCCTCCTTGTAGTGCTTCTGACCCATCTTCTGGTGTCAGCCTTGGTAAGTATTGCCACCATGCTCAAATATTTTTTTTTAACTTAAGTCCACATATCTATAAAATGGTAGATTCCAGTGTAAATGAAATACATGCTTATGGAAAATAAGGAAATTTAGAAAGGTTGTTTGAAAGAATGAATGAATGAGTGATAGATAAGTTATCTAAGTCTTACTACAGAAAGATAACCATTAACTTGTTGGTTGAGCTCATTAAAGATCTTTTTCCAGTGTCTTTCTTTTAATGGATATAGTCAAACCTGGAATAGTTTTGCATTATGCTTATGTTATGTAACACATTTTAAACAGTTTCCATATTCTTATAAATCCTTTTCATATATACATTTTAATGGCTTTATATCATTACATTAAAATTATAGTTTGCTTAACTGATTACTTCTTTTTCTACTTTTGGTTCTTATAATGCTGTCTTGGACATCTTTGTATATGAAACTTTTTCAATATGTTGTTTAAATTCTAAGGAATAGAATTATGAAGTCAAATGGTGTGAATATTTTTAAAGCCCTTGATGAAAATTGCTAAATACTCTCCACAAGGATTGTATCATTTTTACTCTATCTGATCGATAACAAAAGTGCCCATTTTGCTCCCTCCTCGCTAACATTATAATAATGCCCGTTTTTAAAATAAATAATGTTTAAAAAGAAAACTTGACTAGATATATTTTTAAGTACAATAGAATGCTTTGGGTCTTACTTTTATTACAATTTGGCAGATATTTGCATTAGAATTATCCTCACCACTGCCTTGTCCAGGCCCTTATCATGTCTCATCTAAAGTATTTAAAAGATTCCTTCTGATGGTGTCCCGCCTCATGTTTCTCTCCTCTCCATCCATTTAGAGTTTATATCAGGTTTTCTTATACTGGGCTCCTTGTCCTCTGATTCATCTAAAATGCAGTCTTGTTGCCTCTCCTACCTAAAACCTTGCAGTGGTGCCGGGTAACTAAAATTATCCTTAATATGATGGATGGCAACTATGTAAAGCCAAATCTTCATGAAAAAAAGATTGGAAAGAGAAGGCGTTAAAATATTAGCAGCATTTATCTCTGGGTGGATTCTTTTTTTTTTTTT